GCCTTGTAAGCCCAGTTCGGCCCAGACCTGACCAGACCCGGCCCGACCCGACACAGTCCAGTCCAGCCCGGCTCGAACCAGTACAGCTCGGTCCAGAAGCCCCGGTTTGCCCAACGACGTGTTTCGAGCAGTCCGATTCACCTACTGAAGGTTTGAGACAATCTGATGAGCTTGATGAGCGATTGGAGCACTTTGATGGGTTGATTAGAATCGAGAAAGGCCAAGTCCAACTGCCCATTAGACTTTGGTGTTCAGACGGTCTCCAACAATGGAAAGCAGAAACGTCTCAGAGTCGGCAAAAAATTTAAACCGTAAGTCCTAATCCTAACTATAGATTCCGCTGCGTTAGAATTTATTATTCAATAGATTTGAATGTGCACATTGCCCATCGTGCACAATAGAACCCAACAACTGGTATCAGAGCCCAGGCTAATTCGACTTTGTGCACTATTCGAATTAGGACTTGCGTGATATATGTGAATTAACTGTGTACAAACGCAACGCATAATAGATTAGAATTGCAAATAAGTGTGTTTGCAGGTATTCTTGAATCCGACTATTATGGCCCGCATGTATGTTTGTTTTTTAATTCATGTATGTCGTTTTAAAAGCCTCGGACATGTCGAGGATTTTTTTTGGGTTGGTGAATGCTTGTAATAATTTATTCACGCGGTGGGACACCGCATAGTTTAAATGCTTTACTAGATCATTCATGTACGACCCCTGCGTGGGCCATAGGATCAATGTATGTAATTAAATTATGTAATTGTTCGTTGGACCCGATAAGTGCGACATCTCTCGACGAGACGAGGCAGGCTACCCCGTGAACCCGTAGTTGATGGGATATGTGGTACTGTGCAAATGCAGACATACTCGTAGACAGCTTGCTGTCAGATACGAGCATTGTTAAGGTGTTTGCAGACGGATATGCACGGGCCCAGGTCAACAGAAGTACGGGCGACGGCGGCTGTAGGCACACGCCAACAGAGGAGACCCGAGGGCGACATTCCCGATGACGACTTGTTCAAGATGAAAAGTGGGAGTCATGGCGAAAAAGGAAGTTCCAAGTCCTGAATCAGAAGAGCCAGTTCAACAAGGACAAGACTGCGTTTCCCGAAAGATTGGAGAATGATTAAATGGCCATGATAGTTGGATCTTAGTTCGTCGTTTATTATTGTCTATTAATCATGCATGTCCTTATGTGATTTAACAGCTCTATGTGCGAATTAAATTATTAGGAGCATGATAAGGAAAATCCCTTTAAATTAAAAATTATATTAAGTGTGTAATGGGTTGAAATAAATAACATCCAAGGCCTCCATCATAGGTTTGTCAGTGAAGTGATTTAAATCGAGCCCAAAGGACGTTTTATTTCACAATTCATAAGGATGAATCTCCTTCGGGATGGTTATAGTGAGCTATTTCAAAAGCGTATGGGTCACCTAAAGGTGGACGTATAATTTTGGTAGTAAACTTAGGACCAATTAATGGGTTACGCTTAAAGTGCAAATAATTACGATATTCCCAAAGGAAAAGGTCGTTTTTATTCTTGTATAAGTTAATTGCGCTGGCCAAAAGTTCAACCGCTATTAGTTATGTATTGCTTGGTAGTACGTTAAGCTAATGGGATTTATCCCTCCTCTTGCGATGGTTTGAACCGTAGACGTCCACACTCCGTGGCCTGTGGCGATTCGGTGTTTTGAGGTGCCGGTGAATATGTAACACCCCGCCTTATCGTGAAAATCAGAGTGCGTAATTTCGCAAAACTTTTCATAATAAAATAATTAGTTTGCGAAAACTGATTCGGAGTGCTACCGTAAAACATGACTTATTCTGAAAAACCGTTATTTTAGTTTTTACCAAAAATCTACGGTTTACTTAGTGCATTAAATAATTGAAAGTCTGATTGAAAGATAAGTTCGTCAAAACATCATAATCAGCGGAAACGTAGCATCATCAAAATATTTACAATCACATGAGCAGAAGTCCTGAATCATCCGTCATCTCACACCTCCGGCCCGACTCCATGACCTGAAAAACATGATAAAAGTGGGTTGTGAGCACTAAAGTCCACTGTGCTCCGTGGAAACTCATACTAAAGTAAACAATGAAAATAATTACAATAACATGATCCTGGCATATATAACTGAACTGAACTGAAACCGGTACTGAATAATCATGATCTGATACTGATGGTGAGACAATCATCACCTGCCTGATACCTGAACATCTGCCAGCATAAATGTCGGACACCATGTGCACACTCTAGTGGGCAGACTAAGGCCACTAGAACCCAAAATGGACCGGCGACCATTCCGAGCGGATACTAATAATACATACCTCAAACATGGTAGAATAATTATAATCAGTGTAATAACCAGTCTGAGTCCCCACATGTTAATATATAGAAGGTGAAATTTGATGAAAGCGTGAAGTAAAAATTGGGGCCAATAAGGGGGCGCCACTTGCTTTGTATCTAAAGCATGAGGTGTCTTGCAATTTGCTTAGTCATCCTTAGGAATATAACAAAAGGCCACCTAGCTAAATAATGATGACTTGAGAAAAGAATTGACCGTGTCTCATTCCTTCGGCAATAAGAATTTTTGCACGGTAATAAGGTCACATAATCTTGATTAAGCTTTAGTTAAGCATCACTCCCTTAATGACTTAGGGAGTGCGCATGAGACGACTTATTAAGGTCGCTTAAGAATCATTTACATGCACTAACATCTAGTTAGCACATACTCAAACAAGAAATAATTATCGGAAAATTATTTCGAACATAAACGTGATATTCGAAAATTAATTCGAACATCCTTGACTGAAATAAATAGTTCCGAACATTAACCCTTCATTAAATAGATATTCCGGAACTAAACATGATATTATATTAATAACATGCCGCGGTATTACAATCTGCCCCCATTAAAATATTTCCGTCCTCGGAATTACAAAACAGAACATATATACAGGAAACATGAAAAGATATATACATCAAAAACTGAAAATCAGGAAAACGAGCGCGGATATCAGCCTCCTGCTCCCAAGTAGCTCAGTGGCGATCCCACTGAATACGAACGAGGGGCACATCACGCTTCCGGAGCCGTCGAACCTGTCGGTCCAACACAGCTACCGGTAGCTCCTCGTAAGATAAGTCTGGATGGATCTGAATATCAGTATGAAGAATGACATGATCGGGGTCGCACACGTACTTACGTAACATGGATACATGAAAAACATTATGAACACTGGATAACTCGGGAGGTAAGGCCAAACGATACGCAACGTCGCCCACTCGCTCGAGCACTTCGAACGGCCAATGAATCGAGGGTGCAGCTTCCCTCTCTTCCTGAATCGAATAACTCTGCGAAATGGACAAACTCTGAGAAAAGCTCGCTCGCCAACCTCGAACTGAATATCTCGTCGATGATGATCGACGGTTGATTTCATTCAACTCTGAGCTTTCTTAAGTCTCTGCCGGATCAACTCGACCTGCTCCGCTATCTCCTCGATCAATTTCGGACCGAGTACTCGACGTTCGCTGACGTCATCCCAATAAAGAGGGGAACGACACTTACGACCATAAAGTGCCTCGTAAGGAGCCATCTGAATAGCAGAATGATAACTGTTGTTGTACGCGAACTCGGCGTATGGCAATAATGACTCCCACTTAGCACCCCTGTCAACAACCAAAGCTCGCAACTTATCCTTTAACGTCTGAATGGTCCTCTCTGTCTGACCGTCAGTATCTGGGTGGTAGGCTGAACTGAATGCTAATCTCGTGCCCATCGCTTTGTGCAAACTCTGCCAGAATCTGCTAGTGAATCTGGGATCTCGATCTGACACAATAGTAACGGACACGCCGTGGAGCCGAATAATACCACGAGTATAAATCTCAGCCAACTTGTCCAAAGACATACTCATCGATACTGGCAAGAAATGAGCCACCTTAGTCAATTTGTCGACCACGACCCAAATAGCGTCGTGATGTTTAGACGACCTCGGTAAACCCGTAACGAAATCCATCGTAACCTCCTCCCACTTACACCGCGGAATCGGCAGTGGTCGTACAAATACTATGGGACTCTGATGCTCGGCTTTGACTTGCTGACAAGTTAAACATTTTCTGACAAAATCGGCTACATCTTTCTTCAAACCCCTCCACCAAAACGACCTTTTCAGGTCATGATACATCTTGGTACTTCCTGATCGGCTAGATATGGTGCGGTATGAGCCTCCGTCAAGATCTCCTTTCTCAACGTCTCGACTTTTGGCACCACAATCCGGCCGCGAAACTCCAAGGCACCGTCCGTGCCTCGGTGAAAACCCTCGATGCCTCCGGCGCGAACCTTGGCATTCATGGTAAGAACGAATTCATCTGAAGCCTGCTCTCGCCGGATTCTCTCCCTCAGCGTCTGCTGAATCGGCATAGAACTAACACTCCCTGAAATAACTGTGGGAAGTGCGTCAACCACCTGAATCTGCATCCGGGCGAACTCCTGAATCAACTGGCTCTGCTGAGTAACAATGTACGTCAAATCACCCTTCACCTTACGGCTTAGGGCATCAGCAACAACATTCGCTATCCCCGGATGATACTGAATTGTGCAATCATAATCCTTGAGCAGTTCTAACCAATGGCACTGTCTCATGTTGAGCTCCTTCTGAGTGAAAATATACTGCAGGCTCTTATGATCGGTGAAAATACCGCATCGACCGTCGTACAGATAATATCGCCAAATCTTAAGGGCATGAACAACTGTAGCTAACTCCAAGTCGTGCGTCGGATAGTTCTGTTCATGTGGCTTTAGCTGGCGTGAAGTATAAGCAACAACCTGGCCATCCTGCATAAGGACACATCCCAAACCCTGTCTCGAAGCATCACTACAAATGGTGAAACTCCAGGAAGGATCGGGAATAGTCAACACCGGTGCTGAAGTCAATCTCCTCTTGAGCTCTTGAAAGCTCGATTCACAACGATCAGTCCACTCGAACTTTACAGACTTCCTCGTCAGCTGGCATAAAGGAAGGGCAATCTTGGAAAAGCCCTCAATGAATCTGCGGTAATAACCAGCCAAACCGAGAAAACTGCGAACCTCGGACGGACTCTTCGGTGTTGACCAGTTCTGAACGGCTGCAAGCTTGGAAGGATCGACCTCAATACCTGCTTGCGTAATCACATGACCAAGAAAAGCTACTCGCCGAAGCCAGAATTCGCACTTGGAGAATTTTGCATATAATTTTTCTCGTCTAAGGGTCTCAAGAACAACCCTCAGATGCTTCTCGTGTTCCTTTTGGCTCTTTGAGTAGATAAGGATATCATCAATGAAAATAATGACAAACTGATCAAGATAGGGATGGAAAATACGGTTCATCAGATCCATGAATACAGCAGGGGCATTGCTGAGACCAAAAGGCATGACAATGAACTCGTAATGGTTGTAACGAGTATGGAAAGCAGTCTTGGGAATGTCTGATTCCTTGATTTTCAGCTGATGGTAGCCTGATCGCAAATCAATGTTAGAGAAAACACAAGCTCCCCTCAGCTGATCAAATAAATTATCAATCCTGGGAAGCGGGTACTTGTTCTTGATCGTCAACCGGTTAAGATCCCGGTAGTCGATACACATACGCATGGATCTGTCCTTCTTCTTGACAAAAAGAACGGGTGGTCCCCAAGGTGAAACGCTCGGCCGAATGAAACCGAGTCGTAATAACTCCTGAATTTGCACCTTAAGCTCCTGCAATTCTTTTGGCGCCATACGATAGGGTGCTTTAGAAACTGGACCGACCCCTGGAATAAGATCAATAGAGAACTCCATCTTGTTAGGCGGTCCTCCTGGAAGCTCGTCCGAAAACACGTCCACGAACTCACGAACAATAGGGACGTCATGAGGTGATCGTGCCTTCGAATAATCATCGACAAGGCTGACGAGATAACACTGACAGTTGCCTCGTCGCAACATCTTCCTGGCTTTTGCCATAGAAATGACATGGGGCAAGGAACGAGTCTTAGTGCTGAAGAAAGTGATCTGATCATCTCCTGGAAGATAAAGGGTAATCTTCTGGTCATGACATCGGATATCTGCATGAAAACGTGTTAGCCAATCCATGCCGAGTATGAGGTCAAAGTCCCTCATCTCGAGAACATAGGCATCGGTAGACAATATACGACCACCGATAGAAAGACTGAGGTCTGTGGCTCTGGCTGAAGTCACTATCTTTCGTCCCGAGGCTAAACTCACCTCGAGAGGATCGACAGCGGTACTGACATGAACTCTGATGGCATCGAGACATCATCGTGATATAAAAGTATGAGTCGCTCCAGTATCAAACAAGGCAAAGACAGGAATGTCATTAAGCATAAGCATCCCAGACATGGTACCTGGGTGTTGTTCTGCCTCTGCCTGATCAACCGCATAAACTTGGGCCTGCTGTCTGCCCCTCTGCTGCTGCTGTGGTGGCCTCTGGGCCTGCTGTCGGGGCTGCTGCTGCTGCTGCTGTGGCTGCTGAGGCTGTTGTGGCTGCTGTTGGAGTTTCTTCAGACAGCGGTTAGCAAAATTCCCCTGCTCGTGACAATAATAACAAATATCCTGGCCCATGTGACACTCTCCGCGATGAAGTCGTCCGCAAGTGGATCACTGTGGAATCTGCTGTAGCCTTTGTCGGGTCCTCCTATCCGTCTGGGCACCTTTCCCTTTCCTCTTATTGTTCTTCGGTGGCTGGGCAACAGTCGGTGGAACTGTGGATGACTGGGCAGGGGCAACTGGCTGTAATCGATCATAGTTCGTCTCCCTTCGAATGCTGGCATCCACCTCCTGGGAAATGGCAACGATACGAGCATACGTCTGGGTCCCGTGACCTACAATATTGTGACGGACTGCTGGGTAAAGTCCGTCAGTAAAGCGCTGTGCTCGCTGTGCCTTAGTACGTACCAAATCTGGAACAAAAGCTCCAATTCTGGTAAACTCTCTCTCGTACTCATCAACAGAACGAGTACCCTATTTGAGCGACAGAAACTGCCGCTCCATCTCAGCTCGGTAATACGTGGCATAATACTTCTCACGGATCATCTCCTTGAATCTATCCCAAGTACAACTTTCTTTCTCGCTGGGACGCATACTCCAGTAGGCATTCCACCAGAGTCGGGCATCACCGGTTAACTGAAGCTGTGCGCAAGTAACGCGATAGCGATCTGGACAGTCCATGACCTCGAAAATCAATTCAAGGCCCTGAACCCACTCATCAACGATACGCGGATCTCCCTAACCGGAGAACTTCTCAGGATGGTAGTCGCGAAACTGTGCGACTGTCGTAGCCTGAGAAACAACAGGACGGTCAAGTTCTCTACGGGGCGGCATCTCATCATTGAAAGGTTCAACATGATTAAGATTCAATGAAATACTTTAATTGATCATTAAAGCACACAGATCTCTTGACGAGTTGCTAAACATGACTGTAAAATACTGACTGATATCCTGACTACTGATCTTGAACATGAATTGAGCATCTTAACTAATTTATAACTGAAAATTTCTGAGCATAGAAATAGTAACTTGTTTATAATTTGAAAACATGAATCAGCACTTACCTTTAGTCGGCGAGGCGTGAGCGTGACGTGTTCAGGTTTTTGAAAATTTTCTGACTCGTAACAATTTTTAGAGACGCAGAAACGTGCTCTGATACCAACTGTAACACCCCGCCTTATCGTGAAAATCAGAGTGCATAATTTTGCAAAACTTTTCAAAATAAAATAATTAGTTTGCGAAAACTGATTCGGAGTGCTACCGTAAAACATGACTTATTCTGAAAAATCGTTATTTTAGTTTTTATCAAAAATCTACGGTTTACTTAGTGCATTAAATAACTGAAAGTCTGATCGAAAGATAAGTTCGTCAAAACATCATAATCAGCGGAAACTTAGCATCATCAAAATAATTACAATCACATGAGCAAAAGTCCTGAATCATCTGTTATCTCACACCTCCGGCCCGACTCCATGACCTGAAAAAATGATAAAAGTGGGTTGTGAGCACTAAAGTCCACTGTGCTCCGTGGAAACTCATACTAAAGTAAACAGTGAAAATAATCACAATAACATGATCCTGGCATATATAACTGAACTGAACTGAAACCGGTACTGAATAATCATGATCTGATACTGATGGTGAGATAATCATCACCTGCCTGATACCTGAACATCTGCTAGCATAAATGTCAGACACCATGTGCACACTCTAGTAGGCAGACTAAGGCCACTAGAACCCAGAATGGAACGGCGACCATTCCGAGCAGATACTGATAATACATACCTCAAACATGGTAGAATAATTATAATCAATGTAATACCCAGTCTGAGTCCCCACATGTTAATATATAGAAGGTGAAATTTGATGAAAACGTGAAGTAAAAATTGGGGCCAATAAGGGGGCGCCACTTGCTTTGTATCTAAAGCATGAGGTGTCTTGCAATTTGCTTAGTCATCCTTAGGAATATAATAAAAGGCCACCTAGCTAAATAATGATGACTTGAGAAAAGAATTGACCGTGTCTCATTCCTTCGGCAACAAGAATTTTTGCACGGCAATAAGGTCACATAATCTTGATTAAGCTTTAGTTAAGCATCACTCCCTTAATGACTTAGGGTGTGCGCATGGGACGACTTATTAAGGTCGCTTAAGCATCATTTGCATGCACTAACATCTAGTTAGCACATACTCAAACAAGAAATAATTATCAGAAAATTATTTCGAACATAAACGTGATATTCGAAAATTAATTCGAACATCCTTGACTGAAATAAATAGTTCCGAACAATAACCCTTCATTAAATAGGAACTAAACATGATACTATATTAATAACATGCCGGGGTATTACAGAATATATTCAAATGTTTTTTTGAAGAGATCAATATTTAATGATTCGAAAACACTTGACTTAGTAAAAACTATGTTTGCATGATCCCAGGAATTCAAAATGTCTTTTAAATCCGTTATCTGTAATACTAAAAGATAATTTACTTGTTCAAACATGATTAGAAATAGAACTTGGATAGTGTCTTGTTTTGCTGAAGAATATTAGTCGAATGGCATGTGTATGTGGTCTAAGAAAAATAGACATAAGAAGATGAATTGTCCTATCCTTAATACAAGAAAGGTAAATCTTATTCACTGGGAAGTCGAAGCATTTTAAGTGGTGTTATCTATCAGTGCCTGGTATATAGATACGTAACCACTAATTATGTAAAAAGGTTTCAGTGAACCAATCGACATGTGAAGGTTGGATTACCATCTAGAATGGACTAGCTACAGAAGTAGCAACTATTGCAGTGGGAGTTATCTATTAAATAGAATTTTTGGTTAATCGAGTAATTTTCTTTTCGTGCCAAGTTTTAGAAAGAATTCATATTCAGTTTCTAAATTGTGTATGGATGAAAACATGATGTTTTATTTATTTGGTACGTGGGTTGACGATACGCTCAGTGAACCAATATGTCTCACAGTGCAGTAGATAAAATTAGTAACACGTCAACTAGAACCAATAAGAAGAAAGGTCCTTCAATAAATGAATCATTATATTAATTTGGTATCTAGTGTTTGGGATTTTAGAGTTGGTAGAATTCAAAGTGGATAGCCATTGAACTCGTGGATTCTTTGGGAATGGATGAAACTATTAGACCTATGAATTATACTTGGCAGCTAAAATCACAAAAAAGACTTTTTGAAGGTTGATGGTTAGAAGCCAAATAAATGTTATGGTTGGTACATCCAATTTGTAAAGTTCTATGATTTTAGGACGAAAGGTAGTTTTGAATATTTTTCTTCGAAGAAATTTGTTCAAGACAGGGTACATTAAGTGACATTCCATAAGCTTGAGTACTTCGAGAGAGTACAATGGCAGTTATGAAAAGATGTCGAGTTTAATGTATCAGTGGCATTACGATTGAAATCGTAGTGACTAATACCTTTTGGAAAATCATAGAAATACTTATTGGGTATTGAGATTCAATCTCAACATGTTGCACTTGGTTCATCGGAACAGGACGGTGTAACAAGAACGAAGGAAAATGTCTCTCAGGAAGATTGGTTATGTCAATGATGAGTTATTAGGAATATCGCTTTTTCGTATTGGATTTATGCAGATAGCAGGATAAGTTCTGATTATAATTCTATCTAAGTTTAGCAGTCATTACTCTGAATGAATTGTTGGCAAGACTTAGGCCTTGACAGGAACATATTCAGATTCAGAGCATTTCAGCACACGTGTTGGAAAGTTGATACTAATAGGATTGGAAAAGATGTTCAGAAATTAGGCTATTGTGGGATACTTCATAGTAACGAGAAATGAAGTGGATTATTATAGTACTAAAAGTCAGAATATGTTCGTTAGCGCGAAAGTCTGATTTTTAGAGGAATACTAAGTAATATGTCACTAAGTTTATTTGTAGAATTGTTTTAAGGAATGATAAAGGTGAAAGTTCAACTTTGTTACCAAGTGTACAAATATGATACCACAAAGAAAAACTGCAACACGTATTTTGTGCTATACACCTTTGCAGAGGGAACCTCGTTGTAGTGGGAGGGTTGCAAGACAACTCGATTCATGATAATAAGAGAGTTGTTGGACTCAGTCTGTATTAATCACAAGTTCATGGAATTCATGTTTTGAGAAAGTCACAGACTTGGTCTCTAGTAAAATTGAATCGATCCCTAGTTATATAATGAGGAGATCCAAGACAAGGATGCAGAAGCTTAGCAAAGTTTTAATGATTTCTGATTTAGAGTCATGGACTTTTATCAGATCTGGGTTCTTATAAAATTACCAAGTAGCATACATGCTATTGGACGAAATCTATAAGTGAAGACTTTAGTACAAGGCTTGTTGTGAAATAGCAGACTCAGAAAGAATGAGAACTATTATGAGTTAGCTTTTCACCAGTAGC